TTTTACTAAGTAGATTTACAGTACTTCTGTACTGCTAGCTTGCATAACTGAAGCAAGTACAGTAATATGAATCTACTCCATTGGTACACTTACCCTGCTGCTAAAGTTGCTCGTTTGTGGCTTAACTCAGGTATCTTTACATTGCAGTCAGTATGTAAAATGCATACACTCACAGATCACTAAACAATCTGTGCCTGGAAGCAGAAACCGTATAGTCCTATTGGTGTGGTACCAGTCTAAGCTGGTCAACCTGATTATAATACAAGCTATTTATCTCATGCACAGGCCTGTGATGAAATGAAAATACTAGTTTAAGGATAGAGATGCATATCTGCACTCTGCTACAACCTCAATGTGGACACTTCACTTTGCCAAAGGGTAGGCCACAAACCTACCTGTACGTGGTGTTGCCTTGAACCACCTAGTCATGTTCAATATCATAATGGAATATGATCTATTAAAAAAAATATTCAACTACTAAATAGCTAAGAAGGTTTCTGTTTCATTTCTGGGGTAGAAAGCCATCCTTGTTCATTCTTTAAATAATTCTTATGCCTGCTGTTGCTAGTTCTTTTTATAACTGTATTACTTTAATTCCAGATTCCATTGAAGCTAATAATGACACAATTGCAGAACTGATATAATAGTAACTAATGTAACTGATATAAACTGATACAGTCCTATGGAAGGAAGATTTGAGCAAACCCACTATGCTGTTGTACAATTCTATATCCTATTTTTAAATAAATTCTGTTTTCTTTTTCACCCCGTGAATTTATGTAGAAGTCTATACATGCACAATCCGTTATAAAGTATATGCAGTAGATACACAATGCATGTAGAATAATGCAATTATGGTTAATGACTTTGTGACATAACTGTTCTCAATGTTTTCACAGGTATCTCGTAATATTGCTCTGGAAGCCTTTATGATCAAGCCATCTAGTTTCACGGGAATGACTTGCACTGCCTTCCAAAAAATATCTGCAAATTCTGACAAGTCAGAGATGCCTGAGATGGGAAGATGGGAAGCAAATCACCATCCTGATCTATATTTGAATTTCAAGTGCAACACTGGCAATCTGAATGGTTCTTTGGTGAATTCTTCTACCAGGGTAAGTCGGTACAATTGTGAGTATGTGTTATCTACTTTAGCATGTTTTCATTAGGACCTTTAGGCAGAATACTGATTTGTAAAATGCGTGTTTTATGTGTTGTTAACGTTGTAAAGTGGTTAATAATTTCAACATGTAAGTGGGCTTAAACTGGTGTATTGGGTGTAGTATATTTTGTTGTGCTAATGTGAATAGAAATGAGTAATTGCCTTGTTGTTTCTATCTCTGGTCTAGTTCTGCAAACTTTTCTATGCGTAAGCAATCTTTTTAAATTAATGTGGAAATATTTGTTTTAGTGAGGCACTCCCAGGGGATTTTATACTGCAAAGATGTATTTTTTAGGGAAATTACCTTTACTTTCACTAAATAACATTACACTATCATCTGGACTTTATACTGAGGGAGTGTTATGTTCAAGTTTTTGAGTGGTAGCTGAAGAAAATAATAAATAAGCCTCTTAATAGAATGCACTGTTGTTATCAAATAATGAAGTGGAACAATTAAATTTTGATCTTGCAGGAAATGGAATTTTGTATTTGGCCAACCATGTTATTAAATTTAAGTATTACAGTGTTGAATTTTTGTTATCCTTCAGCTGAATCTCATTTTAATAGGCTTATTTCTTGAAATATTTACTATGAAAAAATAATGCTTTTTCCATACTAGTTTATGGAATTTGAAAGTATTTTGATTGAAGTTATTTTCTCTTTGGTGCATTTTTATCTGTCTGGGCTATGCAGTCGGTGATATGGTAGTTTACATTCTCAAGGTCTTCTGCTAAAAGGAGTCATGTTAATAATGGAAGAATAGGTTAAATTTGTTTCCTTCAATGGAGTTAATTTTTTTCTGTGGACACTGCTAACATATCTATCTATATGAAAGAGAAATTCTGAAAAGAGACTGTCTCTGAAAAGAAGTGAGTTTGCCATCCATAAGATGAAAACCAAATGTCAAGGATCTACAAGTTAAAAGATTTCTGCAAGAAGCAACACTGAAACACTGCAGCATATGTGGTGATATTATTGACATAGAAATATACATGGGACTACCTGAATTGGAAAGCTTTCTTTATGAGCTCTACCAATATATCTTGTACTCCAGAAACTGAGTACCAACATTTTTAGTAAATTAGTCTCTTTATACTTGGATGGTCCAGCACTGGTGTTTCTCTCCTGTTATAAAGAATCCTACCATAAGTACAAATTTCTCATCTCTTCTATCAGCATACATGTGTCAAATATGCAGAGTGGATTCGAACATTTATTTGAAGCCTTTCTAAAATGTTGTCAGAATGTCACAATTTAATGATCTCAGTAAAATCTTTCCTTGTGTGCTTTGAACCTACCTGACTTTAAACCATGTACAAAAGGGAAATGCTACTGATCACATAAAGACAGAAGCTAGGAGAAAGTAAGCTTATTACCATGCAAAGCAATTTTTGAAGTATGTGATATATATTCTGACAGAAGTGACTTTATTAGGTGGATCACTAGTTATCACCTGTATATGAATTTGTAACTGTTGTAACAGCACAGTACAGGAGATTATAGATTCAGCTAAATGTTAAGTTACATGGATTTAGATTTTAACACTAAGGTACACTCAGGTTTTAAATGCGGTATGTGAATAAACAGACTGAATATATTCCTTTAACTTAATCCTGTAAAGCAAATTTTCATTCATTGTTGTTCTCTGAAACTTTTAGGCTAAGCACTCCTTTAATTCATTCTGAAATTAGTTACATTTCTTCGCTCTTTAATGCAATGATATGTAGAATTGCAACCGATAACAGAAAATGGGATTCTTTATCATCATCATCCACTAGTAAAATTATTTCTGTATTTGCTCAGTGGAGACAAACAGTAAACCTACTTGACTGTGGTATGCAAAGTTTAGGAAAATAGAGAATTTGTGATGGAGGTCAGAATTGCTTCTTTTATTATATCTGATCTTTGGAACTTCCTCTTAGATGCTGAGCTTATTCTTAGAATCTTCCTCTATTTAGCATATGATTAATGATGAGGAAGGGGAAAAAAAACGAATTAAAATCACTAAGTACAAATGGTAATCACAAATTTAGTTTACTTCTAATAAAAATGTGAAAAATTGCTTAAGAAGCTTATTAAAAGAGAATCTTTTTATATTTTTGTGCTAAACAGTGTAGCCCTCTTTGAACATATCATCTGCGCACTAAACATAAACAATAAGTCGTTGTCTGTTGTTAACAAATTGCACTAATCAGTTAAAAAAGTGAATACTCATGGAGCAAACTGTGGTCAGTTGATGGGAGAAAGCTGAAATAGATGAGCATAAACTGTCTTGTTAGTGCAATCAAAGCTTTGGTAGTTTACTCATAATGATATTTCCTGACAATGGTAGGAAATTGATACTAATTTAGTCAGTGGTTTCCAGTACATAACTTAGCCTTATCTGGTTATTAGGGGATAAAAGCCCCAAAAAGGTTAAGAAATATCAAAATTTAAATCAATGAGTAAAAACCAGTTTTAAAAGAATAGACTTTGAAAATTAAATAATTTTAAAAGTGCTGAAAGAGGTCCCCCATTCAGGGATGTTCAGGAGACAACTGTTAAAATATATTTATATCTCCTTGTGGTTCAAATATGTGGTAGATCTTTTATAGACTGATTTGCAGTGTTTTCAGATACCCTAAAGCAAATTATTATTGTAGTTTGATACATGAATTTTTATCTTTATATCCAGTTCTGACTCTGTAACTAATTGCAAGTCTGAAGAGAATCGTTTATGACTATTGCAGACGGAAGTTGTGTCTGGTAGGATTTACAACCAAATGCTTTCTCTTAGATCCCATTTATGCTGTTAGTGGGAGGCTTTTGCTGCCTGACTGTACTCTACTGGATGGGGGAAAAAGGCTCAGATACATATTCTGAGTTTTTGATACAGTAGCATATATTTTGACATAGTAGTTGTTTTCTTCTCTGGTAAAGTAGGCTTAAGGGGATCTTCCCAGTATGGGACTCCAGACTGAGATCCCATCACAGGGATCTGTGCTCCTGAGGCACAGTTCTGTCCCATGAACTGTCTGTGGTCTAAGGATATTGCAATAAGGATATGACAATAACACACCAACAAGGCTGTTGTAACATTTGAACTCAGTCAATGTGAGAATAGCTTATGAAATTTTGGTGCCATTCAGTATGAATCCAGTGCCTGGTTACTATTTGATATCAGATCTGAAACATACTTTGAACCTAATCTCTGTTCCAGCCTGATCCTGCAGAGTATCTCCGGTGTTCAAAGGTAATCACTTGTAACCCTTCTTCTGACTCAGTAAAATTGCTTCAACATAGAATGAACCTTTAAACTTCGTGTATGAAATGTGTAGTTTATAGGGAACTGTAGATTCGGTATTTGTGCTTCGACTTTAAAGGAAGTATTTTATTAGCATAATTTACAGTTTCAGCTTCATTGAGAATGCTTGTCAAATGAAAAGTCTATTCCTCTCTTTATTCTCCTGTCACACAAATTAATTGGAAGTGAAGATTTGAAATTTCAGTAATATATATTTCTTATGTAATCCCTGACTTCTGAAATTTGAATTCCTCATAATAGTCTCCATGCATTCCATTTAACTTTTCAATTCTGTTTATTTCTTCTATGCCCTGAGCCAGACTGACCTTTTGATTTGTCAGGTTGTATTACAGGTGATGTCCAAGTGATAAAATGTTAAAAGTTAAATTGGTACCAGAGATGCTAACCACAAAAACAAATTCTAAAGTGCTTTGACTAAATCCTGTGATTACTTGCTTATACCACATTGAGATATACTACAATTTTAGAAATGTTCTTGTCTCAGATAAGTAGTGGAAAATATACAATCAATGCAAGAAAAGGTTTTGTCTTGCATAAAATAAATTTTAATTGTCAGAACGTAGATATAATGTATACATAATGGTAAATGCATAGGTAAAATTACCAGGAGTGCTGAAAACAACCTCATGCAAAAATTTCCACCAAGTGAGAAGAGGGTAGGGTAAAGCACAGAATTAAAAACCCAAAGAGGAATTCTGAAGGGAAAAATTATTGTTACTAATTGAATTGAGTTGCTTATCCATTTTAAGATACATTTTTCCATGTTCAGGATGCATGTGTACAGAATTTTTTCAATACGTAAAGATCAGCTATGGAAATTTAGAATTCAAATAATGTACAGAATTTGTGGAAAATGTAATACAAATTAATATTCTTCCTGCAACTTTCACAGAAGATGACTCATTTTGATTTTTCTGGTTCAGTCTATCACACTAAATGTTCCCCACTCCAGATCTCCTTTCATTCCATTCTACATTAGAAAATTGCGCAAATGTTTTTCAGTCTCCTGTTGAGAAGATTCACATTGAAATATTCCATAACCACATATATCATATTAAGAAAATACCATCCAACATACTCAACAAAATACTGTTATACTACAGTGTGTCACAGTATATCTTTAGGGTAATTTTGGGGTTTTTTTCTATTGTGTAATAACTAGTAGGTTGATAGGCATCATAAATGTAGCATGAATTATGTTGGCATCATCATTTTCATCATGACTGCCTCTAATTTCCCAGCACACATTGCTTCTTAGAGAGTATTGCAGCACTTTCCTCATCAAATGTGGTGAACTTCCAGTATGTCTGTATCATACAGAATAGTATAAGATTATAATTTTTGTTCTAATTCTGTAATTTTTACAACTGCAGAAAGCGTACATTAAAGAAAACACTACCAAGCAAACAAAAAATTAGTTTCTCAGTTTCATATGTGTGGCATATTACAGCGAGACACTAGACTCAATGCTGAAATACATAATATCAAAGCCTATTTTCAAAATATTTTTGTTTAATCTTGACATATTTGTAAAATATTTTGCAAACACGTCAAGATTAAAAATTCAGGTCAAGACATTTCATGTTACACATCAAAATTTGCCCTGTTCCCTTTCCTTTGGGAAAAATGTTTTGCCCATTTTTCTCTGTTCTCTATTCTTTTCTTTATGTGTCTTAGTAGCCAAAGCATTTTGCTCTTCTTCTCTTGGATAATGATATTAATTTGAAAATTTTCTTTGGGAACATACAGGAAAGTTTGCTTGGGTGTAAATTCAATGAATTGATTTTACAGTAACTAATCTAGGACGGTTTCTCCTTTCTCCATGAGTAAGTTGTGGGTACTGTCACAAAGGTGTATCTTATGTGATGTAGGCATTTTAAAGTTTATTGTATTTTACCTTTTTCATACTTTTACATTTATTCTACTTTAAAAAAAATCTTTTAAATGTAGTCTTAACTTAGTCCTCTGCTCGTTTTTATTCTGATTTAGAATCTATCGAGACATACAGTATCTATTTATTCAATATTCTAAATAATTACATTTATTGTAATTTTTGCATTTAAAATTATATTTTTTTTAGATTCTTCCTTATTCTTAGATGTAATATCTAAGAGGTATCAAAAAGTAGGTGTTCGTATCTCTCTTATTGCAGCCATGGAACCCTTGTTTTAACATAAAATTTAAAATAAGTAAAAACATCTAGCAGTATGATACATAAACTAGTATTTTCTGTGCAGGCATTAATTTGCTTGCAGGTGGATTTAGATTGTATACTGAGCATTACCTATGGAAAAAGCTGAAATGTCTGTCGTTCAGTTAATTAGAGAGTTTAATTTCAAATTCAAAACCAAACAAGACAAACTGCCCCTCTCTTTCCAGAATGCTCATATCACACATTTTTATATTGATACCTCTTACTACTACTCCTTCTCAAACAATGACTTTGTATATTTATGCCTACTGTGACACCTTCAAAATTTGCAGTTTGGTATTCTATGTTCAATATACCTTCTGTTTATTTTTCTCTGCACATGCTTCCATGGTCTTTTTATAATGTGGATGGCTATCCTGCACTTACGGATCTTTCTAAACATTGAGAAAATGAAACAGTGCCAAAATACTATTAATGCATGTATGACAAATGTCAATTATGTGAGGTATACAGAAGGTTTTCTACAATTCTTGTATTTGTTTATCATATGCTTTAACACATAAAAAATAATGTATGTTATGTTTTTTGAAGGTAGGAAAAATTTAGCACTTTTTTCTGTTTCATAGGTGCTTAGAATGAACTTTAAAATGTGTAATTACAAGCTCCTGTCCTTTTGGTTTTTTATCATGTCCTTTGCCACTTCTGTTTTAGCAGATATAAAGCTTATTCTGCAAATAACATCAGTCATATGGAAGTGTTTTCTGAATTTCATTGATGTTTCAGAAACATGTATTATGTTTAAAACTTAAAGTTATTTAGCCATTTAGTCATACTCCGTTAATGCTAGGTATCGTTAGAAGTCCAAACTTGTATGTCTGAAGGAGTGAAAAGAATTCTGAATAGCTTGAAGAGAATAAATATAAGGACAGAAAGACCGTGAGAGTTAGCAACTTGTATTTGATATAAATTCTGTTATTTGGACTCACATTTGCTTTCTTGTGAAACAAGCTTCTGTTCCTGAACACATGAAGCATATTGATTTTACATATGCTGTCAATATATATCTGAGAGATGTGCTGTCACTCTGTAATCCACAATGGTTGGGTGAAAGACTGATTTTCAGCACCATTGCTCTTGTTACAGGAAAGTTCTCTTTGGGATTTCCCAAAGGGCATTATAAGATTAGTTTCCTTCTTATAAACTATCAGACTCCTTCATGTGCATTCTGCTGTTAAATAATAGTTTGTACACTAATTAAGATAAATCACGTAACAAAAATGCATTGACACTGTAACAATTATTAACACAGTACATTAGTTGTGGGAACATATTTTAAGTTAATTTAATGGTACAAAGGTATTAATGAACAAGTACAATACCGAGTACAAGTGCAGGTCCCAGTTCTGCTTTGACTTATGAGGACTTAAACCTCAATTTTCTCACTATATAAAATAAAATACTCATAATTTTCTTACTGCATAAATGATAAATTTTTCACATTTTTATAGAACTCTGTGTAAGTTAAATATTTTTAACTACTCTTTTCTAAACTCTTCTTTCTGATGTTTATTTTATTTTCTCAGAGGATGATTGATGCCATCTAACAGAACATGCATCAACATCCAATAAATAATTACATTTTGTTTCTCAAAATCTTTTCACCACATGGTTGCTTAGATAATTGATTGATACCTATTTTTGCTGCTACAGAAGGCATTTCCAATTTCTAAATTGATAATTTTAGTAACTGTAGAAATATGTTTAGAAGTATTTTCTTTTTTTTTTCCTTTTCAGTGTTGGTTTCTTGGCTTTTGTTGGACCACTGATGACGACAAAGGGTTCACTAAATAGATTGCTTTGATTATTAGGAGATGATATGGCTGGATTTTTTTTCTGAACGTGGGTTCTTCATCTAGAAACTCTAATTGTTTCCTGACTTTCCAGCTGTATGTGATAATCAGAGGAAATAGCCAACAGCAGAGAGATGAGGAGGTTCCTTTGGAGAATTCAAACCCTGTAAACGGCACAAAGGTGTTCACTGAAACATGGTGTCTTTTTCCTTATGCAAGTGACCATGTTGGCTGGAACTGCTCTTAAGGAAAATGCAGCAGCATATGAGGTCACATATCAAAGATTTTTGGGTGTTTTTTGGTTTTGTGGATGTAGAGGAATTAATCTGTGTGATTTTCTGTGTGGTAGTTAGGATGCTGTAATTGTTATATTGTAGGAGTTTTCCAGAGACTATATATATATAGCCAGATAGAGATAGTCATTACTGAATATGTAGTGGAAGTCAGCAATGAAATACAAGTTTTCAGTCCAGGAACTGGGTATGTTACCTCAATGTTAAAGGCACAGGGTAGACCTAGGGGTACAATTATGTGGAATACCTCTTTTAAAGGGACTTATGAAGAGATGACTATACCAGTGAGTTGATTTGTGGAAAGACTAGTGTGGTTCAGAACTGTCTCTGTGACACAGGAAGTGAAATTTCAGTTAAAATATTACTGCCAATATTGCCTTGTTGTTTGCTGTTTATGAAGAAATTATTTAATTGCTGTTTCTGTGGTTTTGGTGGGCTTAGCTGGGAGAAGGAATGCAACCTTGATTTCTTTGTTACTTCCAAAGAAGTAGACACTAGTAGAAATCTCTGACATTTCTTTTTTCAGTTGAAGGATTTAGTGATTTGTCTTTATGCTGGGAACTCTTTCTGCATTATTGATTAATGTATGGTTGGCATAATATATATCTAGGAAAGCTTGTAAATTAGTTGAATTGTAATTAAACATAATACATTCACACCTGAAGAGTGCATATGGGATCATACCATAAGTTTCTGACTGTGAGTTATAAAAATCCCATTTTCAAAATTCTATAGTGCTACATAAGAATTAATTCATTATTATAAATTATTGTACTCCAAAATTGTCAGCAAAGGAACTTACTGGTGTTAATTGAGTTTGCAAATCATCACTGGTTTTAATGCCAGATTAGTTTTTAATGAAGCACTTAAGCTCTGCTTTACAGAGAAAGGACTTTTATGTAGATGTTAATTGTTTGACTTCATACAGAGACAGCCATTCTAAGTGAAGTTAATTTGCTTCACAATCTCTTTTTAGCGACTGAAACTCATAGACAACTTTCCTTTGTTTCTGAGAGAACTTCAGGATGAAACACAGACATTTCCTTAATGAACTTGAGAAAACCAGAAGGGTTTAAATGACTGTTCATCCAGGCCTTGTACCTCTTTCTTCTATTAGTATCAATGAGTGACTAAAAAGTAATTTAGAAAAAACACTAATCAGAAATTGCAATTGTACTTAAAATGGCTAGAAATACTCAGTACTTCAGTAAGAAATTTGAATCTAATGTTGTTTCAAATGCTAGTGAAAAGTGTTGAATTTAGGAATACAAGAAAAGCCACAAGGGTCAGTCCAAAAGTCAGTTTAGACTTGTTTCTTACCTCTGGTAAGGAGTCTAATAGGCTAGAAGCTTTGGGAGACCAATATGTAGAGAAACGGAAGTGTGGTGGTACATTTCTCTTACATGAGCCTTTGTGTGCCTTATGGATTTCATCAGCAACAGATGGTATCCAGGCAATACATGAAGATTGTCAATACATGAAATTGCTTTCTTTTTTGGAAAAAAAAATCTGAACTTTTAAGACTTAATGTTTTAGGTCTTAGAATACCACACTTGGGTTTATTTATTCACTAAATTTTATTATATTTGTTCTTGTATGTAGAAATTGCTCTTTTTCTTAATGTAACAAGAATGGAAACTACAAACCTGAGGAGTGATGATGATTCTTGAAACGTCTGTTAACATCCTCTCTGTATGCATGGAAATACATGTTCATTAAGTATCAAACTGCAGTCCTGGAGGTTTTCTACCATTAATCCTTGTGCTAGAATTTTTTTCATGCATCCTGCTAAGAAGAAAAAAAGAGGAAAAAAAAAGTTGGCCAATTGTTTTAGATCAAAAGAGGCTGGAGACTATGAATTATGGATAAACAAGGTAACACTGAATTGTATTCTTTTCCTAAATTTAGGTTAAAGCCCCTCAGACCAAAACTCTGATGAACCAGAATTGAGAAACACAATGACTAATTTGGTATGTACAGGTCATACAGTAGATGTAACAGCTGTGTAGTGTATGCTTCACTGACCAGCATATGCTGCTACTCTTAAAAGAAAAAGAGTAAGCTTAGGACTTGACACTTAAAGAAAAAGATCACTTTTCTGTGACATTATGTTACAGAAAGCCTCCTGTATTTCATAAGCTCTCTTTGATCAGTACTGTGTAAAGTGTCTTAACAGATTCAAAAGTCTTACTAAATATAGTCTAGCAAAGTTGCATATAATTATCAAAGTCATTGAACTGAAGAGTTATTTACAGCTATGTTGTGTTTCTTCAGCCTTTATTGCTGCACTTCTGATGATAGCAGTCACCTACAGAAATGCCACAGAATATCAAATATACTATTTAAGTGGTACTGATCATTTAAATGTGTACATTCTTAATTTCCACATAAAATAGGATTAAATGTGTATTCCTGTTTTAATAGCTCCTGTTCACCAGAATTATGGTTTTTCAGTCTCTGTGGACTTTCAGTGTACTTGATTGATTTGGCATCTATATTTTAATCCTTCCTTTTCAGAAATTTCATTTCTGATTTAAGTGAAGTCTGTACTAAGTAAACATCCAGCAGGAGTATATGTCAGAATGTATGTAGTGTATTCAAATGCATCTTAGCCTTAGAGTTTGTTTTAATGATGTCAAATAACAAATCAAATCAAATGGCATAGTCAAGCTTCAACATTGTTTTCCTGCACAGTGCAATTTGCTGGAGTTGCTGTAAGGAACTTGCAAAGAGGATCAGACTCACTGGACACCTTTTGGTACAGTGCTTCTCAGTGTTTTGTTTTTTGGGAATTCAGTTAAGTGTGGAACATCACTCTAGACATAGTTGAAAACTGGCAGTGAATGTTAAAATCTACTGATAAGTGACTATCTGCAATAAATACTCAGAAAACCTACAGCTATACCGGGCCTGATTACCATTGTGTAATCCCAGTGAAATCACTTCACTATAATCTGTGTTTATTTTAACTAACAATCTGTGTATTCCTGGAAGTACCCAGTTTGTTAGCACTTACCTAAAAAGAAAAAGGTTTAAAGTGACTAACTAGGACACTACTTTGTATCTTCATTTGAAAAGCGCTAAAAGGTTATCTTTTTCACTTAGCATTAGGCTCAGGGATACTTTAATATAGACCAAACTTAAATCATCAGTGAAAGTAAGATAATTCAGTACACGTTGAGACACTGTAAACGTGAACTGGTAACCGGTTGTTTCTAATTGTCTGCTCATTCTTGATATATAGTAATGTATTTGTTCAGCTTTATGCTAGTACCAGTTGCCTAAGTAGATGTGCCCTGGCAATCTTGCTTCTTCTAAAACACTATTACCACTAGGAAGAATAAGGTATCAAGATGATGCTTGATTTTCTTTCCAATATGTCTTCAGTTTTCAGGAATTTTTATACAGTCAATAAGAGCTACCATGTATTTGCTGATTTCTCAGTATCCTTGAAAGTGGTGCAACAGTAAAATTGGTTTACCTTGTATTTCATTCCAAATAATGGAAGTAATAATTATAAGGATCTGAGAATAAACTTCCTTTAAAATTAAATGGATCTTCTGCAACTGGAAAATGGTAGGAGAATCAAAAAAATTAAATATACCTTCTGTAGGCAAAATGTGCAGATGTGTCATGTGAAGTTGTTATATAACCTGAAAAGTCAGGGAGGAGATGTTTATTCAGCTCAGTGAACAAGTGCTGGAGTGAGATTCAAAACTTTAGGACACTAAATTAAACATCATGAGTGCAAGAAAGGAAGAAGCTACAGATTTCACATACAGCTATGGTGATGTCTTCATGTAACTGTGAAGAAGAAAAAAGTGTAGGAAAACTCTTCTAGGACTAGAACTCCATATCTTGTGTCATTAGCTTTGCTAGTATGTTCTTTTGTGCTGGTGTGAAAGCATGCCATGCTGATTTGCAAAGAAGAAATAGTGGTACCAACTCCATTTTACTTAATAGTTCAAAGGATTTGAAAGAGCACAAGCTTATCTCCTCTGTGGATTTCAATATGTATATAGATTTCATATGTATATAGATTTCAATATGTATATATTGAAACAATGCATCAAATTTGAAATAATGCCTAAAAACGTGTTAAAAAGTAGTAAGTTCTGAGCTGCTGAAGATGCTGTTTTAGAACTAATAGTTTCTAGTGGCACTCCATGCATCATTTCTTCAGTTCTTTTTGTAAAAAGTTTAAGGGTTTTGTCTTCATGGAGACACTGAGGAAAATTAATCTGAATGAATTTCGAAAGTGTTTAAGTGAAACTCTAAGTAGGTACCTTATCCAGCATCAAAGTAGTTTTGACTCAGTTCAGCTGAATTGAATTAATTTCTAAATGAATTCAGCTAAATTGAATTAAGGCCAATTAGTTATGAAGGAAGATATCAACAGAAATGTTTAAGTACAGTTTATTAGTTTACTTTAAATTAAGACTTTTAATAACTTTTCTTGATCATCACTTGCATATATTCTTAACACATGTGCACTCTCCAGATTTTCCCAAAGATTTTCCTGTGGGGTGTCAGAGGCTCATTCTATACTTTTGCCATGTAGAAAAACTTTGTCTTTCTTGCTTAATCAGTCTTGAAAACATATTTTTCCTCTCCCTATTTTTCCATTTCACCTTTTTATTGCATTCTGGTCAAGTGTTTTTTCTGTTAAGCCATGCAGGAGGACTGACTGACCTCTCATTATCCCAATAAGAAACAAGATAGGTAATTTTTGCTATTGAACTACATACTGAAAAGTGTTGTATGCTTTTTATCTCATGGCATCCCTATAACCCTAAAAGCTACATAACACCTGAAATGGACATTTGCACATTATGACCCTTAAGCAACAAGAAAAATGCTTAGAGCTGATTCAGTTAGACTGTTTGTTGGAATAAATCCTGCTACTTCCTGCCTAATCACAGAAAGTTTTGCTGGCTATGTGACTGTGTTTTGTAAAGGCCCATATATCTCATATTGTTTGAAAGAAATGTCTCCATTTTCAGGTTCATTATATCTAACTCTATTCAGACAAACTTGTTGAAATTTTTTGTATTCCAGAATGCTGTGAGACTTGTAGAATAGGAAGAGAGTTAAAGTAGTGAATCCCTCAGAGCTGTACCTGTAATCCAGTCCATGACTAAGTACAGGAACATTACAGTAGAAAATCCTGCTTCAGTGGTTATTGCCATAGGATGGACAGGCCATTTTTTTCTGATTGACTTCCCAGAGCATTAGATACACAGGAATCCATAATAAGAGAAGAATCCTTTATGAATGACCTAAAATTTGTTTCAAGATCAGCTACTCTATGAAATTCACGTGCTCTGACATTGTCACAATGCCATCCTCTTGCTTTATTAAACACTACTTCTTACAATGTTTTGAAGAATTAGTCTTTAAAAAAAAAGTTAATCTGTGTCTGGGGTTTTTTTTTATCCTTGCATAAGAATTCCTTAGAACTTAAGTCAGACCTCTTAAAGACTTGACCATGAGGAATTGCTTATTCATTGAGCAAATCTTGAAGAATTAGTACAAATTAAGATCATCTGATCTGTTTTCACCTACTTATCTTTCAATAATTTTTCGATTTCTTCAGTGACGTTTTTATTTCTCTTTCCTTTGCTGTGAAGTTCTCTATGTCCCTTTTTTTAGGATTTATTTTTCCATTGATTCTGTGTTCTCTAGAGAAGGCAATACGTTAGAAACTAATCAGGTAATTTTTTTCTTTTTCCAATAATGTGCTAATGCACTGCTTATCACTTCAGCTGATATTTAGCTCTTTGGGGCTATTTTTTCCTTTTTCTTCTCTTGGCAAAAAAAAGTGTCAGCCACGTCCTGCCCTGTGGGGCTGCTTGTGATGCTTCTGCTTAGGCTCTGCAGATAAGGTGATTGCCATTCTGTAACAAACTGAAAAACTCACTATAGAGAGGTGGTCCAAGAAAAGGCTGAATACACAGTTACACTTTTGCAGTGCAGAAATTATCAAGAAATCAGTGGTTTATTATCAAATAAAGGCTCCCTTATGTGGAGAAGGATTTGAATGGTCTATGTTATAGGAGCTTTTCCTGGTATTTTTAGTAATACAAACTGAAAGTTTGGTAAAAGGTTTGTTATTTTCAGCAACCATAAAAGTTATAGTTATGATTGCCTGAAGTTAAAATTATTTTGAATGTGACATTTTTCAATTAAAATCTAAAAAAAACCCAGTGGGAATTTCAGACATGATAAATAATAAAACTTTTACTGAATTGTTTCAGTAAATTTTAATTTTTTTAATAGTTTTCCCCTGATGCTCTTAGCAAAATATAAATACACATATAATACTATACAAATTAGTAGGCAGACTGCATATCATGGTTGGTTTTGGGAAATTTAAAAAGAGATCTGCTGGAGAAAAATAAGGCAGTTTGGCTTTTTTCTTGTATTGGATGTTTACTTAGCCCACAATCAAAATAAAAAATATGTCATTACTAGAAAAACATTTAGGAACATGAACTCAACTGAGTAAAGGCTCTTACTCAGGGATGGGAGCAACACCAACAAGGTAATACACAGTTGCCTCTGTGTAAATCTCTGCAGAGGACTCCTGGTGTCACCTCACCAATTCCCTGAGCTCCCCAACTAAAGCAGCTGAGAACAGGCAGGTCGCTCCAAAAAGCAAAGTAGGGCACCTGTCATAACTCCAAATGTCACACCTAACCTCGCATTTACTGAAGCTCAAAGTTTTGGTACTTAGACACAGTGGTTTCCTATAATCATTGCTCTTTACAACTACTCTCCAATACAGT